ATTTGGAATTTTCCAAATCCGTCAATTTCTGAAAGTATGCTGTCAAATTTCATTGTCCTACTGTGCTTTCAGTCACCAAGAAGCTAAATGTTCAGACAAGTGAGGTGCGGTAAGGTGGCAGACGCTTACAAGATACATTTACCAGCAACACGTTAATCATTATGTCTGCTCTGCTGTGTTGGAGCATTAATCACTCTCGGTTTCAAAAATGTTTGCAATATGAGATAGCTTTCAGTCTGTGTTGTAATTGTTGGTCAGGAGAGGACACTAACACTGAATGGCGGTGATGAAAATCATAAAATGTGAGAAGGAAGCGAAGCCAAATGACTTCCAGTACACTCCAAGAAGTGGCAGAAGAAGAACTGATGACATTGGGTGAAGGCAGGGTACACCCTGGACAGGTCACCAGACTATTGCAAGGCACTTAAACATAGACCATTGACATTTCACCTTATACGGTCAATTTAGAGTCATCAAATAACCTGCTGCATATTATTGGACTGTGGGAGGAAGCCGGAGAACCCGGAGAAAACCCACACTGACGCAGGGAGAACATGCAAACTCCTCACAGAAGGGCAGTCCAGCCTTGGATCAGCCCTCCTAATGTGAGGTGACCGTGCCAGCTACACCACCGTGCAGCCCCTGAAAATAAGATGTCAAGAGAAAAGATTGACTGACTGGATATGGTATTCATTCACTTTCATTGTTTATTTGATGGCGCAAACTGGGGCATGTATGGAGGAGACATGGGAGAGTTGATATGATTCAGTGATGGGGATAAGAGGTTGTTGCAGAGTTTAAGGGTTGATTGAGTCAATATCTGTGGCTGGAGTGGGAAGACTTTTTTTTTTACTGCTGGAGAGGAGAAAAGTCATATCTGTTAGATTATCCCACTACGGTAGCAGATTAAATAAATAATGTTGAATATGAATATATTCATATCGTCCCATTTATGTAATTATGTCACAATCAGGCTTTGCCTTCTGTGTTCTGTGTGTTTCTTTCTGTAGCTCCTCACTCTACCTGTCAGCCACTCCCTCAGCACCAGTCTAACTCCCTTCACCTGCCCCTGATCACTAATCAAGCACTCCCTCATCAGCACAACTCTCCTCACCTGTTTTAGCCACTATTTAAACCCCTGCCTCCCAGTCGCACACTGCCAGATCATTGTTTGTGTTCTACCCACCCGCCTGCCTTGTCCTGTTCCGCCTGCCTTGTCCTGTTCCGCCTGCCTTGTCCTGTTCCGCCTGCCTTGTCCTGTTCCGCCTGCCTTGTCCTGTTCCGCCTGCCTTGTCCTGTTCCGCCTGCCTTGTCTAGTGCCTGGTGGATTTTCCCCCTTCGTCTCTTGTCTGGTGCTCGGACTCCCTGTTGTGTATGGTAACCATTCCTATTTGTGTTAAACACTTGCTTCACGCTACTCTGCCTGGTCTGCGTTTGAGTCCTCCATCATGCCCCGTGACAAATTAATCGAAATTGATTTAAAATAATAATGCAAAACTTTTTTTTTTTTTTTTTTTTTTTTTTTTAAGGAAGGTAATAACAAAACATTAGATTAGACTGAACTCTTGACAAGAAAATGAAATGATGCAATATAATCTTTACATTCAAAAATTAAGTAAAAGTATTGGCATCAAAACATGCTTAAAGTAAACATACTTAATTTATAAATTCACATGACTGGAAAGGCACACACACCTGTCTATATAAGATCTCCCAGCTGATGCCTTATGAGACCAAGAATGAAGCCATGAGCTCAAAGGAATGTCCTACAGATCTCGGAGACATGATGGTGTTGAGGCACTGATCCTGGAAAGGCTACACAAAAATCCTGTTGCTTTGAAGGTTCCAAACATATAACTCTCAACTGGTAGAAGCTTGGAACATCCAGGACTCTTCCTGGAGCTGGCAGCCAGCCAAACTAAGCATTTTTAGGAAAAGGGTCACTCTGGCTAAGCCCCAGAGATCCTGTGTGGAGATACTTGGACAACCATCAACACTCTGATCTGGGCTTTATGGAGTGACCAGCCAGAAGTCTCTCCTTCTCCTCTCCTTGCAAACCAGAAAGCAGATTCTCTGGTCTGATGAAACCAAGATTGAACAGTAAGACCTTAATTCTTAGAGTACTGTATATGTTTGGAGGTAATGGGCACCTCCACTCTACATACCATGTAGAGTGACTTAAAAACAACTCTGTGAAAGTCCTGCGGCTCAGCTAGAGATGGGAGGATCTGCAAAGAATCCCCAAATCACGTGTGCAAAGCTTCATACCCAAGAAGACTTGAGGCTGTAATCGCCGCAAAGCTGCTTGAACTGAGTAGCGATTTAAGGGTCTGAATACTTATGTCAATGTGTTTTCTATTAAATAAATTGGAAAAAAAAATCTAAATTATTGTTTTTGCTCTGTCATTATGGGATATTGAGGGGGAAACGATGAATTTAAACGATTTCTAGCAAAACTACTTAAAACAATTCATGTCCTCTTAAATGATTTGTCTTTGAAATGTTACCATTCAAGTGAAACGTACTAAATAATGTTTAATGCTCTATGGGTGAGGAGAATCAAAAATGCTTGAGAAAAGCCTTGCATTGACAATGCTCCCAAATGTATTAACTTATCTGGATTTATGCTGATAAAATGTTCAATATTTTTGTCCTCACAGGACACTGTAGCTTCCAAAGAACCACTCAGGTTCAAATAATAAACATAGAACTGAATTTGTTTCGCACCTCAAAAAATGCTTTCGGACAAGCTTACTGTGATTGACAGGTTGCTGCTGCTAGCAGAACCATATACGGTGTCTCTACGTCACTCCTCCACAAACCAACGTCTGATGTCACGATGACTACATCCACTTCTTATATTCAGTCAAAGTTTTGACAACCTTCAAGTTGTTTGAAACTGCAAATCACATTTTTTAGGTGCAACATTTTGAAACTCTTGTGCAAAATACAGAAAGTAAACAAACACAGCTGTTGTCAGACTACATCCTCTTTAATAGAAAAAAAAAAAGTCATTCTATTTAGTAAACAAAACATTTTTTTTACACAAAAAATGTGTGGACTTGGAGAGCGTTATATGATGTGAATCTGGATGGTAAACATTTGAGGGAACATGTTTGCATCTCGTAAGTCACTTTAGTTAGTGCTTAAGTAATTGGTAAAGACTCAGTAGCTAAACATGTGTTAACATATCATGTGAACCATGCTGACTTCTATCCTCACGTTTGATGGTTTTGTGCGTTTGAATTTTCCGCACACATTCATTTCTCCCCAAAAATTTAAGGTAGAATTATGATTGGAAACTTAACCTCAAATGTTGTTACTGCCCCTTGTTAGAGGATAAATGCATTCACAACCATTGATTTACTGATGACGTCAAATAAAGAAAAATGTCGAATAAAAGCCTGATAAATATATTCATTTGTGTAGATAACCTAAATGAAGGGCAGCTTAAGGCTCAGGCAAAGCAAATTATACCCATTTGTTTCTAAATACTTTGTCAGTTAAATCACCTTTTAAGACTTGATGCAGTTGAGTCGTATACTGTTGAACAATCATAAGCATTTTGGTCAATTTTAGCTGAAAACCTCATCGGGTTTCAGTAAACTATGTACCACATTTTATGTATTTATCAGAGAATTACTTTTATACGTTAACCCACGGCTAGATTATTCTGGCACTTACCCGTTACTTAAGCAACTAGACCCATGAAGTTTATCCGAATGTTTTTGAATCATTCTGCTCTTTCTGTGGCGACTGTGGCCACAGCTGTTACATAGTAAGGTCCCTCTCTGAGATAAGTCTTCAGACGAATGTAATACTGGCTGCCCAGTACGTCTGCTGCTGTCGATGAACCAACAAGGGACCCCACCAGCTCAAACTTAGCATCTTTGGCATCCTTTGTCAGACCCATTGACCGATCCAAAACGAACTCCATGAAACTGGGAGTGCTGATCATTAACTTCTGGCCCCACAGCTGAGTGGCAATGGCCTGGAAAACACACACAGATAACCACTGATGAAGACAGTAATATTACTGGAGCAATGATGATGGTGTCATGCTTTTATGTAATCATACAGGATATAAAAAGGTCAGTAACAGGGAGAAAATGAAGGTAGTTGGAAATAACGTAGCACTCACGGTGAATATCTGCAGAGCCCCACAGTGCAGCTCTGGGAACGGCTGAGTGCTGATGTTGCGGATCATGTCCATGGGCTGGTTAGACAAAAGATGGAACCAGGACTCTGTGAGGGCCAAGAGGTCTTCTGTCTGCTCCTCTGGCTGCAGTACAACATTAAACATTCAGAAACTGATCAACTTTGTTTCTGAAGATGGCTTTTTAAGAAAAGAATCATAGCAATGACTGTTCCTCATGTGTGCACACACACATACCTGTAGTGTGAGAAGTTGTGATATCGCATCCAAGCTGCGCACTCTGAGCTCTGTAGCTCCAGCGCTGGCAAGCTGGCTCATCCTTGTTAACACAGCCTTGAACTTTTCTCCTGATGACACACAGAGAATCAGTCTCAAAGAGCCCAACACATCTAATTAAAATAAATATTTACATTCGAGAGGGGCCAACTTTGAAAAATTACAAAGATAACAAGCTAACCTGCTTTTTGAAGGACCTGCTTGCCCTCCACAGTAGTTCCGAGTAGTCCTAAAGTGTCCAGAGCCACACCGATCATTGCAGCGTCCGGGTCCAGAGCCATCTCAAACACCTTGTTCTGGAAGGCCGGGTAGGTTTCACAAACCTGCTGTGGGCTGTCCATAATGGCCAAGTTTCCAAAGAACTTCACCAAACCTAAAAGGAGTATTATTCAAACTGTAGAACTGAATTGCCACCTAAACATAATATTTCTGTGATTTCTAAAAAGAGACCCACCAGGAAGGTAGAGGGAGGAGAAAGGGTCGGTCTCTGCTCCCTTGATCATGTTAGAAAACTTGTCCATTATACCCTGCTGGGCCAAATACTGCCGACCATGCTGACTTTGGGCTAAAGTGGTCACCATCTCAATGGCTGTGGCTCTGGAGAAAAAGACAACAACAGATACACATTTACATAATGACAGAAGAGTGGAGACAATTGCATAACAATAAAGCATCTCTTAATTTGCAGTAACTACATTATAATTTTCCTCACAATTTCAATTTCTAATCTTATTACCTGATCAATACATCACCTCCTGTCAATTCTCCAATCAGTTGAGAAATGAAGCCGCTTTTGGCACAGTAACCAAAGGAAATGGGAGATACAGACGAGATTTCAACCACCAGATGCAAACAGCAAGACAAGTCTTTATTAGGGATTCAATATGAGAGCTGTTTAATGTGGGTACGCATTACAGCCAGACTTTGATAGAACTAAATCTAAGTGCCCACATTTTAGCACGATCTCTTGTTATCATTAGTCATCTTTTCCACCGATCCCATCAAAATAAATGTACTTTAAAAAGAACAACACAAAAAAAAGGTGCCACTTGTGGATTATCAGCCACAAAGAAACCCAAAGTAACACACAGTTGAACGTACCTTATATATTCTGTATCTGACTACGTCACTTGTGGCCATCACATCCTTCATAACTTTCGCTCTGGAACAAAATGTCTAACCCAGGCTTGGAGTGACTCAGTTTGGACCTTGATGGCCAAACCTATCAACAGAGAGAAGGCAATTTTTTTTTTCTTCAGGAAAAACTACTTTCTGATTGACTGGCAGGTATTTGCAACAGGTCAAAAGTTAAACCACTGCTCTACATCAGTGAGCAAGTAGCTGCAGTAGCACTGTTATATTACAAGCACAAGTCCACGTACACTGCAATCATGGACATAACTGCAATAATACCAATGTATTGTCTTGAGTCTGTTTTTTCAGAAAACGTTGAACAGTGGACTGAACAGATTAAACATTTTTTCATGATTTTAAAGATGAACATCTCAGGAGACAGTTGTTTGGAGTCCCATCCGCCTGGAGTGGAATTCTAACAACAAGCCTCTCATACGTCTGCCATTCACTCCTCTCACACATGCTCATTTCTGTTCTCTCATTGTTTGCTGCTGTCAATCAGGATATCAGCTGCTCTGATCAGCTGGTCCCTTCTATCCAATAGTACATTCATGTCACTGTTACTCCACCTCCCTATCACCGCCCAGTCATCGCATAATCATCAACTTCATCATTTCATCAGCCTCGTCAGCCATCATTCATTGTCTGGACTCCGAGTGGAGATTTATCTTGCTGCTGCTCAGAGCAGACGTCCCTCAATTACAAATCTCCCTGTCGAGTCCAAGCTCCAAATACTCTGTCAAGACTTTATCATCACACAACATCTGCTTATAATAAACTATTGTCTTAATAATAATAAATAATCTTACTCGTCTCTCCTGATTGAAATGATATAATACAACGAATGAGCATTGTTGCCTTATAATAATAATAAGCTACTATCTGCATTTAACATGTGAATGAAGCAGGGACAAAGAAAAAATGACAGTGTCTCTTGTTCCTCCTGTCAGGCACTTTAAAGCAACAACCTGAAGGCCTGGAGTCATTAAATGTCACAGGGGTTTCAGTCTTAGCAACTGGGGCAATTGTTGAATGTTTCCATAACTTTGGGACTCTCTGTTGCTCAAAAGACAGGATAAAAATAAAATGAAGGACGCTACAAGGCGCTCAGATTGTTGCCACAGATATTGTCGTGGTGTTCTCATTGACAGCTACAAGTACATTTACAGTCATGCTTCATTTTTCTTGTTCTATATTGTTTGACTTCCGTCAGTGCAGAACATCATTTAGACAGTACATCTTTGGATATGGTTTAAGTATTTATTGGGATTTTCACAATATTATTCAGACTTCATACATTGCATAACAAATATACTGTGGACAGGCTGAGTATCACTGTCAATGTCAATGAATGTGATTTTCATTGAATCTCCTTGTTCCTCATGGATTGTCCCCTGCAATATAGATGCACCTTAATTTAGTCATAACATGAATTAATTTGAGTTCAGGAAAGGACATAAAAAAATCTTTGAGACCTGCAAATCATTAAATCCTGTCAATTTTTTAGGAAGATGTGTAAACTGTAAAAGTACAAGAATTACCCATAACACACTTGCCTTCATGGGGTTGATTGGATTATTCTTTAGTAAGTTCAGTGAGCTGGCTAATCAGTAGCTTTAATGTAATCTTCCTTTCCTTATTACCTTGGTTTCTCAATATCCTCGATGCTCTCTGGCAGTCGGGCGTTTAATGTTTCAGGCAGGAGCCAAGACACTAAACCGGATCCGACTGCCACTGTACAATAAATGATTGCAGGGAGGAGATGCCATACGTCCTCCAATAGCATGATGAGTGGAGAGATGGACACGCCCAGCCGCGCCAGAAAAGAAGTGTAGCCTAAACCATTCTGTCTGAAAAATGAAAGCACTGAGGTTAATGTAAACCTGCAGTAGAAGATCCTTGTCTGTGGTGAAAAAAGGCTCCATAAGTTTGTTGTTAACTAACCGTATGACTGTAGGAAAGAGTTCAGTTGTGTAGAGGAAGATGATCGTGAATGAGGCTTCTGACATGGCTTTTCCAAGGACTGCCACAACAGTACGAATGGCCCACTTATCTGAGGGAAGATGTTTAGATATTTAATCAGGAACATTCTCAGATATGTTGACAATTTTTTGTTGAATTCAGATTTAAATAAAAAGAACCTTTTGCAACAAAAATGTTGATGAAGAGAGAGAGGCCAGTTAACAGCAGAGTTCCCATCTCACCAGACCTTCTACCAGCTTTCTCCAGGTAGAAATACAAAACGATCTTCATTGGCATTTCGATGAATGCAAATATAATTTGTGTGAGGTATGGGTCTAGTCCAAACCCGATGATATTCAGACTTATCCCATAATATGTTAATGCAATGCCAAACCTAGAAAATGGAACAAAGTATCGAACTTACTGACGTGATCATTTTAACCTTGACTAATTAAAAACATGGCTGATTTCAGTGTCATTGCAAACAGACAGCAGTCATTTTAGCCTCTCAGTTACAATGCATTATAATATGTTGGTATCCTCAATCATCCTAATTATATACCACATTGCATAATATATGAAATATATCACATTAACATGTACATATTGATATCATTATTAGAGGGATAATTGTCAATATTTAACATTTACTAGCGTTTGATCAATGTCCTCAGTATGTTCAAATAATAGTTCAACATTTTGGAAAATATGCTTATGTGCTTTCTCTCTCAGGGTTAGATGAGATGATTGATGCCATTCAACTAGAGGGCTATAGCCTGGTTATAATTAGCATAACTTAGCATAAACGCTGGAAAGAAGCGGAAACATCTAGCGCGGCTCTGCCTCATGTTTAAAATCCACGTACCAGCATGTCTAAAGCTTGCTAAAATGTTTTAACTGGTTTGTCTATTCCATACACAAACAGAAATGAAACAGCAACACGCTGTGGTTTTAGACGGAGGTGAGAGAGGGTGCTGGTAGACATATTTAGCCAGGCTAGCTGATTCTTCTTCTTCCAGTCTTTATACTACGCTAAGCTAATTGCCTCGTGGCTCCAGCTCTGTCCTCAATGCACAAACAGGAAATTGGTAATGAGCTTCCCAACTGACCCTCAGAAAGAAAGCAAACAAACATATTTCCCAAAATACTAAACTATTCCTTTAACCCATCTCATGAAACTGACACTTACCATACTATTCCTGAGCATATAGAAAGTTTCCTAATATTTGGGGTCTTGAAAAGATCCACAATGGTGTACTTCTTATCTAAGGTGTCACCTTGTGCAGATTCCAGTAATTCCTATTGGAAAGCAAACTGTTTTTTCACAACATTTTCTGCACATGACCGTAGTCTTCTATCACTGTGAGATTGTCAGTTAAGCAACATTAAAATGTACCATTTGTGTGATGGTGGTCATATACTTAATTCTGTTGTTCATCTTGGCACATTGCATTAAGTAATGATGGGCAGCGTCTGTCTTCCCGTTTGCCAGGAGCCACCTCGCTGACTCTGGAATCCACCTGAAGAAATAAGTGTGGTGAGTTCAGTGTCTTCTGATAGGATTCAGCTTTTTATGCTGCAAAGTGAAAAATATTAAACTTTAATACCTCCAAGTAAGGATGGACAGTATTAAGGGGGAGGTCACTGCCACAATGAGCATCCTCCAATGATTTACATAGTATGCAATTCCAACCAGAAGCATGGTTCCAAGTGTCCAATCCAGGCTTATGATTATACCAGAAAAGGTTCTGTGTGCAATGCCAAACCATTCAACATCTGGAGGAATGTCAGCACAGATGAAAAGTCAGATCGAAATGTTTTCACATTTAATTTCTTGAAACTAAAACCATTATTATTCTATTATATTCTATTTTCCTCATCTCATTGTTTTAGAAGGCTACTTACTTAGAGTAATAGAGATGATACTTATTCCTGCGAGTGACATTCCTGTAAAAAACCTCATGATGACAAACGTCACATACGATGGGGAGAATGCACTCAGGACTGCAAATGTCAAGGACGACAAATAAGACGCCAATAGCAGCGGCCGTCGGCCAAACCTGGTCATGAAAAGAAAATGTTAAAAGCAATGATTGTGTTCAAAATAATGAGATAGAGATGAACCAAATATTATTCTCAACTCATGAGATCGGACATCATTTGCAACTGGTTCTTTACTTTGATTAAATTGCATTACTTTAGTTTATTTGACTTGTTTATGTTTCTCTTATCGCATTGTGTATTTGTTTCATTTTTATGTAAGCTATATTGCTCTCTCTTTGTTCAGATGAACATGCTGAACGACACTTTTGAGCAAGTCAAGCCTGTAAAATACGTTACATTATTGACATTTTCTTCTTCTTCGTCTTCTTCTTATCATTATCATCTTTTACACACACAGCTTATGCAAGCTGAAATACCCCTGATGACATCACCAGGGTTCATTTTTCAGATTTTGGAAAGCCACAAAATGAATCAGACCTATAAAACTCCAAGTGTAAAATTGGTGCAGTTAATCTTATCTGACATGTTTTAGAGTGTCAGTGTCTTTTTAGGAATATAGAGGACATACTGGGTCTTTTCTTTAACAATCTTACCTATCGCTGAGATACCCAAATAACGGGGCTCCGCACATAACACCAATGAAGAAAATGGTGACTGTTGCCTTGTTCATCCCTTTTCTGCTGCACACGAGATCCCACTGCAAAGAATTCATTAAAAGCATTTTAAAAGCTCAACCTTTATTTTGGTGTCAACTACACATCTTTAAAATGCTGTGACTGTGTCTTGCACAGTTGCGATGCGTTCTTCACCACAAAAATCTGTCCACAGACACAAATGCACAATGTGAAAACAATACCAGCGTCACTGCAGCTGCTGGTAATTAGTCATTTTGGAGTTCTCCATCATGGAAGATGAACTTGGTCAAAACCAAAATTTGTCAGACTTTTTGCATTTTATTAAAAAAAATTCAACCACATTGAATGCTGACAAACATTTTATTACAAGAAATATAGGGAATATAATATTGATCAAAACATACACAACATGAAAGAATACTGTTACATTTATTGAAACACTTACTTCTGTTGCCAAAGTAGATTTAAATGTGCTGTTGTCATACACCCATCCGTTCTGACACTGAACAGTAGCTGCA